TGAATAAAAAAGTTTTTAAGAATGTATTTATTGAAGACTGTTCTAGTATCATGTAGAAACTTTGTTGCCTGAAGTTGTTGACCAAGGGCTTGATTGTGTATGCAGTGAAGCCAGCAAGAGATTTAAAGTTATGTGAAGACAATTTATGTTTATTCTGTTGCAATGACCAGCTACTTATAGTCTCAGTAATGTTATCGTCTCTGATTTAATCATTGCTCCTTTCAATAATGACTCATTTAAGTATCAAATAGTATTAATCATTCTGTAGATTTAATGTAAAAACAACAAAAAAAGTTTACAAAATCCACAACGATAACTTTTGGAGCTATGACATTAATTAACATAATGAAATTATACTGTTCTAAAAGGAAAACTTTGTATGACTTTTCTGTATCCTGAGATGCATAATTTAGCTGTAAAATGTAGATCAGGAGCCAAAGTAAACTATAAAATATCTGAAACTAAGTTAAGCATTTGAAATAGGGGAGTGTGATTGTTTTTAATTGCTCAGGGAACTTACCACATTAAAATGCTAAGTGGTTCACTTTGAAACAGTATTTCATAAATTGTAAAACGTTAGCACAAAAAAGAATAAAACATTAGCAGTATTTTTTCACTTGCTCTGAAAAAATATGAATAAATATGTCAGTCATTAAAATGAGGAAAATGTGCATCTAATTCATACTGATTGCCTACTTTTCTTATTTTCATCCTTTTTAAAATAGGAGCCAGCAACACAGCAGATACCTTATTCCAAGAAGTGCTGGGTCGCAAGGACAAGGCTGATTCAACGAGAAATGCACTTAATGTCCTCCAGCGTTTTAAATTTCTTTTCAACCTTCCCTTAAATATCGAAAGGAATATCCAAAAGGTATGATCCTTTAAAAATATTTTTCTCCTTCCTGAAATTAGTCTATATTATCATTTTTATGATAAATACTAATTTTGTTTGCTTACTTTTAAGGGTGATTATGACGTGGTTATTAATGACTACGAAAAAGCCAAGTCACTCTTTGGAAAGACAGAGGTTCAAGTATTCAAAAAATGTAAGATTGAAGATCTATTATTTATTTTCAGTGTTTTAACTGCAAGGCTAAAAACACATAATAGTCTGGGGAGCTTTATGGGGTCTCAGCTTTTGTTTGTATGGAGTTCTCTTTAGATTCTGAACAATTACTCTAAACAATATTTCTGGCATGTGTCCGACTGAGATATGTACTAGAAAATAATAAGCGTAATAGGAGATTGCAGCCAGTTTTATTTATTTATTATTGAGGCTTTGCTTTACCGGACATGTAGCAGGTTTCAGTAACTAAAGGATATGACTTAGTCTGTCCCTCATTGGCATATTTTTTAAAGACTTCAAATTTTCTGTTTTGTAAGGCTGTTGCACTCAAACTTTTCAGATATAACTTGCTGTAAAATGAGTTATAGCAATTACTTCATTGAGTTCAGAAAGTTCCAGTGCCCTAGAAAAATAACTTAATTTTCAGTTCCCTCTGCTGTGGACGGCACACATTGGACTTATTTCCTCTCTCTGCTCCTAGATTACGCTGAAGTTGAAACCAGAATCGAAGCTTTAAGAGAACTTCTGCTGGATAAGCTGCTTGAAACTCCATCAACATTGCATGATCAGAAACGTTATATAAGGTAATCAAGCCTAAATATGTTTCCTAATGGTGTGGTGAATAGTAACCACAAATACTTTATAACTGCAACATTTTAAGATTTTATGAGTGTATAAATAACGCCAATAGGCAGTTGATAGTTTATTGAATAATAAAGAACATCTCCCAAATGGGAGCAATTAAATGAAAGATAATTGGGATTTAATTCCTTTTTTTAAGTCTAAAACTCATGTTTTGATTCTGATGCTTCCTATAAACCATCATATTGCAAGTCTAGTCTGAAATGATTACTCGCAAGTTGCAAATCTCAAAATAGATTATTTATGTGTGTTCTATTTTATCTTGTCTTGGTTGAAATAGAGACATTGGAAAGCTTTTAGTACAGACCTTCATTCAAATTTGAGTTTGGCTCTTTTACTACTCATTCTAAGTAATATATTTCTGGAGCATGATCTATTTCCCCATTTTCATTGAAATTCCCAGCTTTTTTGATATCTTTAAGGATGTCAAAGTTTATTTCAGATATACTAATATGTGTCAGTTGGATCTCCTTATTCCTGTGTATGTAATACCTTGTAATTTGGAATTAAGTCCGGTGTATTTATTTATTTATTTATTTATTTTTAATTATCTTAAAAATTTAGACTAAATGTAGTACTGTGTGAGGCATTCCTAAAGCTCACTGATACCTGCTCAAAGTCTTTGGTGTTTTGTGTGGAGTCCAATCCACACAGGACAAACTGCAGTGTTGGAGACTCAGATCCCATTATTTTTGAGGCTGGACGAAAACCAACATACACACACATGGAATGTCTCCTGTTCTTTGGGGTGCTATAGCAATATCACATAATTATTATAACTGTGTTTTGAGATGTGTTCTTAAGCATTTTGCACCTTTGAAGGATGTGTTACTGTTCTGTTTTTGTTTTCTGTGTCAGTCTTGAAAACCTTAAAGAAGGTAACCCAGGACTTAACAAGCTGTTACAAAAATTCTCTGAAATTGGAGCTGTATCTCCTTAGGATTCTGAGTCTTTTGGTTTTTCCCCAGCTCCATACCTGGAGAAGCATTGAATCTTTAAGCCTCCAGCCTTCATTAAAGCAGTTTTTGTTAATATAATTCCATAGTTTATTCCACATCTGTAACACTGTAACAAAACCGAGCAGAGTGCACACAAATCTTTAATAATTTGATGCTAACGAATTAACATAAATCCTGCACACAAAGTGTATACAGATGTAGCTTTGCTAATGGGGATTATACTCCTACACATTCCTGGCAGCAAGGCGTGAAGAAAACTTTCTTCAGATCACTTTAGTTAAAAATAAATTAACTATATCCTCCTAATAAAATAACTTCCATAAAAGGATATATAACCTCTATATTTGCAAGTTTTTTTTTTCTTCTTTGGTATGTTTGTTTTGAATGTCTATGCATATTATATTTATGGTTAGGCGTCAATCCGTATTATTCCCTTACTTTGTTACACTATTTACATTGGTAATTATATTAAACTGTTTAAAAATCAATTTACCATATCAATTAGCAGCTGAGGGGATGCATTTTTTTTCCAAAGACACCAGTTACATGTGTGCCTTTAAAAAAAAAAAAAAACCTCTGTGTCTAAACAAAAAATAAAGTCCTCCTGAACACTGATGAAGGACTTGAGCTCATAATTTATAAATATCACTCTTTCAAAATGGTTGCTTGTGTAATCTCCTCATCCATCCAACTGATTGTACTTTGACAAACAGTTTATTTTGCATGTTCAAGTACTGTAGACAGTTCTCAAGAAAGTCGGAATTTTGCAATACAGTCCTAATTAACATTAGTCAGCCTTGTAGTAATACAGCTTTTTTGGAGGGGCTGTACACTCCTTGCAGGGCTTAAGATCATCAATCAGGGTACCTCACCCTGGTCATCTTGCACTTTTGAATGTCTTGTGTCTAATTACCGCAGAATGTAGCGGGACACATTAAGTAGCAGAGCAGCTACTGCTTTTTAAGCATTATTTTGAAAGTACCCTTGCAAGTCACGTAGTCTTGAATCCTACACTGGCCTATACTACTCCTGTGTTCTTAGCAGTCGCAGCGGCCGACTTCTGAACACGCTCTGAACTCTCCCCAAAGACAGAGGGAGTTTTTCTTCCACTTGTTAGAAATTCCACGAAAAAGAAAAGTCCCAATCTCTTGCCTTATCCTGTGTGTATATTCACACTATGTGTGTACATCCTAATGCAACAAAAATAATCAGGAGCTTCATTTATATTCATTTGTGCATGTGTGTGCTGAAGTAAATGATCATCCAAAAATTAATTCCTTCTGTACTTGCCTGCTACAGTTACGTGATGCTACAATCAGAGCATATAAAGTAGAAAGAAAAATACCATATTTTACATGCTTGAGGTGTTAGCAGTGATTCCAAATGAAATGTGAAGTGCTGAGCTGTGACCTTGGCGGATAAAGAACTTGGTTTCTCAAGTACTTACCTAGAGACATACTTAATATCATGTTAATATGTATTTTCAGTTATATTTGTATATTTCTGCAAGGTGGAGACTTGGAGATGGAACTTTGCTTCGCTAAATTAGGAAGGGAGAATGCAAAGCTTGCATTTGCATTGAATATGAATATCTCTTAGCAAGGCTTCTTGAATGTTTAAAATGGTGTTAAAAGGAGATATTTCTCTGTACATCTTTGGTCTGTTTTAAAGAGGCCTTCAGTGTGTCGAGTCAGAGCTGTGATTTTTGGACTGGCTTTTACAGATATCTTTCTGATCTTCATGCGCCTGGGGACCCTGCTTGGCAGTGCATTGGTGCTCAACATCAGTGGATTCTGCAGCTCATGCACAACTGTAAGGAGAGCTATGTTAAAGAACAAAAAGGCAAGGATATGTTTTTGTTATATATATATTTGACACTTAGGAATTTGGCATTGCCTTTTATTTGACAAGCTTTAGTGTACAAATGATATTTGTTTTTTTTCCGTCTCGATTTTGATGGCTTTTCACAAAGTTGAATACTGATTTGTATTTTTCCTTTTTTCCCACTACATTATGAAAACAAAACAGTGGTTAGAGCTTTCTTTTTGTTTAACATATATCTTTTAAGCTCTTTACATGGGAAAACATTACATTTCAGTCCTTCATCCAAAGTTTACTCTCCTCTAGAAACATTTCAGTAGGGTCGCTTTAAATTCAGATTGTTGTCTGAATCCACCAGTTAGGTTTCTTTGTCAGAGGATATGCCAGTAGTACAAAGATATGAAGGACACTGGGGCGTTGTGAAAAAATGTGTTTGTCTCCTGTTATGCAGTGAATGATAATGGGTCTTTTCTTCTTTGTTCATGTGCAGTTCCAACACTCAGATTATGCTGTTAGACACAAACCTATGAGGATGTCTAAATATCCCATTTGACAAGTTAAAAATTTAGAGCTGTATGACTACATAGTTGTGCTCCATGTTTGTTGTTCTCAGTGTGGCTCCTGGAAGAAATGCCCTCATGGTACTACTCTTAGGTATCCTAACAATCTAGCAATCAGCCAAGGAAGTCAGCCACATCAATGTATTTTCAAAAAGGAATGGGTGGGAAGGTAACTGTCCTGGCATTCCTCTTAGTAAAATCTGAAAACTCAATTCTTAAATTAGGCAATTAGTGCCTTGTTTCTCAAGGAGTCTTCCTGAATTTGGTGATATTTCCAAAATGTACAGAAATATTGGAATCTGGCTTCTCTTGGCTTGTAAATAACTTCCAAGTTTAGCGTTACTGCATGTATATCCCAAACCAAATAAGATGATTTCTTTCTACAAACCACAGAAATTGTACTGAACTGGAACGGCTGTAGAAATGTGCTAAAAAATCTAGCCGGATGCTTAGACTTTTTTCTTTAGCAAAGGTTATGACATCAGGTATAGAGTTTACTGCGTGCTTAAAATATGACAATGATGTCAATCTCTCATTTCTAAGTTGTAGCCTTTATAAAGGCCGCACAAAATTTGTTTGTTTTACAAAATGGTGTTGAGTACTGTGGGACCAGCTGGAACAGCAGGTTGGATTCTTAGAGGCTTGGTCAAAATTCAGAACCCTCCCATCTCCTCCTTCAAAAAACCCTAAATCTCTCTTTCCTCTAACACCAAATAACTGTCGTAGAGCAGAACTCACTTGTAAAGATGGACATATTCTAAGCTTTTATTTTTCCTCCTTCAACTTGCAAAAGGGTGTATAGACATTTCACATCTTAGCAAGAATAATAAAAGCATGAAGATACTAAGTGCTCAAGCCTTGGTTTGGGGTTTTTTGTTTGGTTGGTTGGTTTTTGTTTTGCCTTTGATAAGCATGTTCCAGCAAAATTACAGATGTGTGCCTTAATTCTTTAGCTTTTCTTGAGCCTCTCAACCTGTTTGGTGTTTTTCTTGCGAAAAAGAATCTTTCTGATTACCTTAGGCTTTATAGTAAAATATGTTACTGTTTCAGCAATTTTGTTTAGCTCATAGTGAGAGCCAGCATAACTGTACATCTTAACGTAACTTTGCTATCTAGTATAATTGTCAATATAGTACAGAGTTTATCTCTTTCATTTAAATAACCTTTTTTTTTTGTGATGCTAACCGATGCAGTTTTCCTGCAGATAGAAAAATACTCAAAAATTTATTCTGATAGATGGAATTTATCCCTTAATATCCAGTGAAGCAAAGTAAAGTTACTAAACTCAGTTTCCCCTTTCCAAAGAACCTCAATTTTGACATATTGCATATGGGAGAAGTAGAAAAGTTGGAAGAAGTGGTATTAACTGCCAAGAAGAACAATGTTGATTGTGATCAGAGATAGGGAATGTATTTTAATCTATTTTAGTAGATGTATACTTTTCAAACAGGATTTATTTTTTCCACTTATAGATACTGAATTGTTTTTGCACGGCTTAGAGAAATCTAACCAACCTGAAGAAATTAGAAATGAGGTTTATCTATTTGTAAATTGGTAGGGTCTTTTTAAAGTGAAGATAGGAACAAATTTTCAAACTCTAAGCTCCTCCATTTAAAACCTGTTTCTAAAAAAGATTCTTTTATGTATCAAGCCTTTGACAGCAAAGATGGGTCATAAGATTGGTACTTTCTTGAATAGCGTAATTTTTTTTCTGGGATTCCCTTTTCAGTAGGAATAATATACATCATATCTAGCAGTAGTTTTCATACTGAAAATGATGGAATATGCACGTGAAGATTACTGTTCTACCTTGGACATCCCCAAAATTTCTGGTTGTTCTTAACTCTTCTGCTAATTGTGAGTCTGTAGGTTCAAACTGACAGATTGAAAACTCTTCAGAAGAATAAAACTCTACAGCAGAATCCACACACAAATTTTATTTTTCAACTTGCAGTTGAGTTTGTACCAGACTCATTTTGCTTTCAATTTATCAATTTCAAAGCAGACAAGTGCTCTGTGTTGTTACACCTGGTGAACTTTAATATCTTAAAATCCTATCAAATGGATTCAGAATTAGACCAAAAAAATGATTTTCTTACCTACCTTAAAAGTCTTCTGTTAGTTCTCTGTTGAGAAGCCTAGACAGGATTTTGAACTGACTGTCAGACAACAAACATCCTCAAATGATTTATTCGCAGCTTGTGATGCAGGTGAGATGCAGGTCAGTGTTTACTAATCAATATAAAAAACATAATGGAAAAACTGAATTCAAGTAAGTTCTTCCAAATTCAGTCACTGGCAACAAGTCAATAGTGTATTCTCAAGTGGTGCCTGCACCACTAGAAGGCTGTCTCATTCATCAATACTACTTTATTTTTCTTATACATAAATACAGTCTTTCCTTCTGCTTTAAAAGATTCAGTGGTGTATCATATCTTCCAGGACACTATTGACAAAAAGTAAATCTACTTTTCTACATCCTTCATAGGATCTTTTTATTTCCCCAGAGGCAGTAGTGCCCTCTTGTCTATTCAAAGCTTTGTTAAGCATAGCTGAAAAAGGGAGGGAGCTGCTGTATGTTCTGAGGTAAATGGAAGTCCTGTACAAAAACCACAAATTTATATATATATAATAAATTATAAATTATATGTGAATCCTTCATAGCCTATCGTAGAACTGTGAAGCATCGTAGCAGGTTGTGATCTCTGCAGCTCAAAAGAACAACACCGGGCAAGGTTACAGTGCTGTAATGATCTTGGAGTTGACTCCTGGAATTTGCTTTGGGGGCTAGCAGAAGCCCTATGTGCTTCAAATACTGTTTTTTTTTTTCCCCCCTCCCCCTTGGTTTGCTCAGCTAGTGTTAGTATTACTTCCAAAATTTGAAAGGTACAGCAACCAGTGCTGAACTGTGTCAAATAATGTGGCAGCCTGAAATAAAGACTTGCAGCTACAACACCAAATTCCTCCAACAAAAGTTTCTTTTGATTTTAATGGATCTTAATCAGAAAAGATACTGTAATCTGATAGATAAATAGCAATTTGTGTTTATTGTCAAATGACGCGAGTAGCATGGGGATTTTTCTGTAATCTTGTACAACAGTGTTCACGTTTTGTAATTTATTTCCATGAAAGGAAGAATCAAGGATATAATTAATCTGAGCTACTGTTACAGACTTTCATGTTTGTCAGGGGATTACTGTGATAGAGAGTGTAGAGGATGGGGAGGCAGATGGCAGGATGCTTTCTAGCCGGGGCTCCGCTGCTGCCTGTGTGTTACACTGTTAGAAATCGGAACAAGAGACTGTCTTAAAGCGTCTTTGAGCAATACTTTGGTTTGTTGATCTGACTTGAGTTATATAGCATAACACTTCATTAACAAACTCGGATGCAGTTACTCGGTGATCACTGCTTTTAGCCTATCTGTCTCAATCTGTACTGCCTTGACAGACCTTCTGATTCCTGAGGTAAAAACTGCAGGCAGAGCATTTTAACATTATGAAATAATCCAAACCCATGCATTGCAAGGAATGAGTGAGTATCTGTGTGTGGCAGCGATTTAAGTTTTTTCCTGCCCTATGCACTCCGAAGTGTGGGCAGCTGGGGCTCAGAGACCAAACAGCAGAGTCAGAGATGTCATGGAAGCGTTAGACAGTACAAGGAATGCCCAGTTCACAGAAATCCTGTGTTCGTGCCCTTGCATTAAGCTCTCCTCCCCTGCTTGAATATTAACATGTTCTTCTACTAAAGATGCAGCAAGGGATGTGGGACCTAGGTGCAACTGTGTGGAGCTCTAGTCCTACGGATGTAGTGATGCTTGGAAATACATGGATTTATTAGCTTTTAAATATTTTCTCTATTTTACCTGCCTTGCAAATGGGATAGGTATTTATGTTCTTTCATTGTTTTTGAAACCTTCTTTTTACTCCTGAGAGTTAGTTGCTTGAAATATTGATAGATTCATTTTATAAATCTAATTATGTGATGCTATTTCTATTTCATATCACTCACAGAAGAACTCAAGGAAGTTAGAGCCACTTTGTTCCTGTTATTTCAAATGTAGATGTTGTTAGGGAGAGGGAGATGCATGAGACTGAATATTCAGGAGAAAGAACATTTTTGATGGCTGTGAATATAAAGCTTAGCATTTGGAAAAGCACTGGTCTCACCCAGAAAGGTATCTCCTAAATCTCCATCAGTAGGGAGCTGATATCAATAGATTGTGCTAATATTTCATACTTTGGATTGTTTATGCTCTGAGCTACTTCTGAGCATTTGATTTGAAGAAAGTCTTGGAGCTTTCAAACCTGGTGTCTGGATAATAAAGTGTTCCGTTCTATTAAAAAATATCACAAATTTGTGATTTTTAACTTTACTTGGCAATTTCCTAGTACATGGGCATCCCTTTAGTTTTTGACTATGGTCTTGGTTTCTGAGACTTGTTGGAGTACAGGAAACATGGGG